AAGCTTCAGAAATAGGAACATATTCTACCAGCATGTCCATCAATCTACCAGATATCTCTGGAATTATAGAAAAGAATTGTGGGCAAGAAATTCTTGCTGGCCCGAGTTTTGTGATAGCAGCAAGGCAAGCCAGTGCAAGCATGAGGAGTGATACGTCACATGCATTGCTAGAGCCCACAGGTAATCCTCTGCCACCCCTGAAGCAAAAAATTTTAGAATAGTTCCTTCACGTACCAAAAGAAAGAAAAGGGGGGAAAAAAACAACAACAACAACGCAAACATTTAGGAACCTAAATAACATGATACATACAATGCAGTTGCAGCAGAATAGCGTGGATCCTGTTCAAAATAATTGACAAATGATGTTATCATCACCGGGATTTGCTGAGACCAAAACCAATCATAAGCTTCCGGTTGCTTGGCCAACAGTTTCTCTCTGATTAAGCTCTCCAAGGGAGCAGATTGGCGCAGTAAACTGAAAAGGTGCAATGATCAACAATTGATGCTTTTAATGATGACCAGCAGGTGAAAAGTGTAGATCAATAATAAACCCATTAACAATTCCATTGAATCATGGAAATCAGAAATCTACGAAGATTAATAATAAAGTCATTGTCTTAAAACGTCGAAAGAATAGAGAGAATAAAATCGTTTTGAAGTGTGGTTGCATTCGCAATTGCAGAAACACTTCCATTTTGTGATGATATTGCATGTCTACAAGCTTGATTTCACGATCCACTTAATAAAAATGGGATACATAAATCTAATTCAAGAAGTTAAGTGTATCATATTCTAAACGTACAAAAGGACAAGTTGAAAATTATATATTTATTTAAAGTTGGTTTAAGAATATTGGTTTCTCATAAAAAAAGTTAATATATGTTTTACACCTACGGTACAGATGGCCAAGTTACATTAATCAAAATTCCAAGAAGGATAATCGATCATAATTTCAAGGCTCAATACTACAGTAAAAATAATGTAACCAGTCATCTGAGACAGCTAGAGGAAAAAAGCAATATAGTTCCATATGTTTGTTGGCCAAGAAAAACGAAAAACAGTATAACAAAAAAAAATTAGAATTTATTACCTCCTCTCAACAAAAACATTGACATCTCTGTCTCTACTATCACCCCGAGATGAAATTTCACTAGCTGCTTGCAACAAAGAATACACAGAGGCCTGTAAATAATACTCCCTTCAGATAACAGAAATAATGTTCGAGATTGAAATACGTAATGACATCAAAATGGTTCAGATATTCATTTATGTTATACATAAAAGAATTTGTGACTATACCAGGTAAGACATTTGAACATCAAAATGTATCATACAAGCAACACAAGTTCCAGGAATCTCTCTTTCAGACCACTAGATCCTACTGGTTCTTTTTCCACCAAATCTTTCCACCATTTTCCACTAGATCAACTTTCATCACGTAGCTATATCTCCAAACCATATTGTATATAAGAGAGCTCTTCATCTTCCCTTTGCTAACTAAAAAAAGAGGCTAGGTTTCTTTAGCAAATTTGTTTTACCAAGACAAGTTGCCTAAAGGAGATAAAATTATTTTAAGGAATGAGGCTTTAACTCAAGTTGCAGCAAAATGGGGCCAAGGCACTAAGCTCGAGACCTTGGGATCTATGACAAGGAAGTCAAGGATGAGGTTTTGCTAAAAACCCTGCAATATTTTAAAAACTCTTTGAGTTACTTTCCACATTTTTAGCAACATGTGTCTTGCCCTAAGGTGTATGGAACTTGATTTTAGAGGTGTATCACTTCTCTCAAATAAAATTGCATATTCCATCACTTAGTCAAATTGAGTATCATAAATTAAGGCATATTTTAATGTCAAAATTATTGAAATGTATGAAAATGTTCATTTAGAATTAAAATGTATATGTTTTCACAACTATGACCTCGCTATGTCTATGTCGTGATTTTTTTACAAAATGACATGCCATATTTGTGACGTATGGGGACTGCCCCCATACTTTTTAGATAGGATACATGTTATCAAGTGTAGGTCATTAGGGATCATAAGAGATAATATTAACTAATTCCTTAAGAAAATAAGAAGGGGAGAAGAGGAAAGTGGAGCATGAGTTAGTTGCAAGTGTAAAGGCCTAGTTATTAGCTATTACCTGATAAGACAGCGACTTAACCCAAGAATTTCTGTCTATACCAAGCCAAGTTGTTGAAAACCAATGCATTTTTGAAGACGCACTATGTTCTTTAATAGCCAAATCAAAAATTCTTGCAGCATCATGCAAGGATTGTACAAGGCCATCATTATAATCTTGTTTCCGTGAGTCATCTAATCTGATACTCATGTTCCCAACATCAGAACTGGTGCTTGCTTGGGGACTCCCATTGACAGTTACACTCTCATCCGCAGAAGCAAGGAGTGAGAGGTTTCTTTTTCGGCAAAGCTGTAAATATCTTTTCCTAAAGCCTATCAAACTAGGATTGAGATTACTGACATTCTTTTCTGATAAAGCAGCTCTTATGAGGCATCTCTTCCTTGACTTACCCCAGCTACTTAGCAGGCAGTCCAATTGAGCAGCTCTTTTGCACGAAAAATAAGTCCGAGTTGAGGTATATGGAAGCCACGGAGTCGAGGAACTGAAGCCATGAGACAAAAAAAGGTGAGCTAGAAACAATACGGGACAAAAGGCACATAAGTTATTCAACGGCAACAGGAAATTTATACTAGCATTTTCTTCATACTGCAAGAAATATACAATCACGCAAAGGGCACTGATTTTAAAATAAGCGGTTCTCATGTTACACGTTGCAATTTCCGAAGTTGCACATTTCGTTCATATACTTTGAGCATTGTGTGTGCTTAACTCTTCAGCTTAAAAATTTTCAATTGCATTTAATAACAGTACGCCAAACAAAGAAATAAAACTCATTTCTTAAAATCTGGATGCAATTATCATCTGGCAACCAATTAGACATATTATCCAACATAATCCAACTTGATCATCTGCTCATTAATTTATAATCCATTTAATTAACGGTCAAATCATGTCATCTCATCAAAAATCTAAAAAATGGAGTGTCACGTTTACTTTTTAAACTTAGTCACCAAGTGAACACAATAATTAAAAGTTAATTTCACCCAATACTTAAAACCCATTAATTTATTCACCTAACATTAAATTTCCTCTTCCCCTCCCTCAATTTCCTCAAACAATCAAACATAACAAAAAACATTCGATAACAATAACAAACCAAAAGATAAACAACTATCACAAGCCCTAATTTCGACGAAAATACAGACCGCAAAAGAGAAATAATTGAGAATCAAGCAATAAGTCGAATACAAATACTATCTAAAAGAAAACGCAAAAGAATTAAATGATCATATCATCATCATAATCCATAATACCTTGACGGTAGGAAGCTAGTACCCTGCAATTCAATTGCCATGTGCAAGCAATACGACACAGCGCAAAAATTTGGCGTTCAGCTGCTCCAGAAACATGAAAAAGAAAAATGAAGAATAGTCGCGAAGTAGAAGAAAAAGCGATGCTGGCGTGGCGAGTGGGGAATTATCCGAATACGTGGAGAGGGAAATGAACACAGAATGGATGGAAGCAGTGTAGCAATCTTGAAGAGGAGATTATTTACAAAAATGGCGTTATCTTCTGCGCAGTAATTGTTGAGCAACCAAGCTTTTTCGGTTATCCTCAGCCACAATCACCAGAGGACTCAATTTATTAATTTTTTTTTTTTTTACATAAACTCAGCGGCGCGCGAACTCACACGACACAACCGGATTTTGGTCCCGCGATAACTCTTTTTTTCTCTTTTTTTTTTGCTTAATTTTTTGAAATAGAATAAATAAATAAAGTGTTTTTCTATATTTGAAAAAAATAAATGAAAATGTGATTTTCTTTAGTCAATTATAATATTTGTATTTTATAAATCTAGTTTTTTAACCTTGTCATTATATAAGAATTTGTAAAATATAAGAGAGGGGACGTAAAAAGATTTAGAAAAATGCGTGTTATAGTTATAGAATAAAATATATATGTTGGATATTCTCAAAAAAAAAATATATATATATATGTGTGGGAGAAAGAAAAGAAGTTGGAGAGAGTAATATATTATTTTAAAGGTTCGTAGATAAATTAACTTAGTGTGATTAGATTCGTGGATAATTATATTTTTTCTTTTAAACTTTCAAAACGTCCATTTTAGTTTCTATGCATCAAAGAAAATATTGTGATACCTTCATTTTTATTTTTAGTTCATTTTAGTTTCTATATATCAAAAAAAAAATATTGTGATCCCTTCATTTTTATTTTTATCTCATTTATTTTGATCAAATTTAATTTAACACTTCAAACTTCAATCATTAGATTTCTTTAAATATCACCATAAATTTCTATTATAGAATTTTCATGGTATATAAATTAGATTAACGTTTTCTAAATAAAGACAAAATCAAACGTCTTAAAAGTACCATGGCTAAAAAACTAAAATTGAAAGTTGGACCAAAATTAAAGTATATTGATCAAATTTAAACAAAACAAAAAAAATTCCTCTCACCATTCCGCTGTCCGTAGACTCAACCGCTTCTTTCTATTTATTATTATTATTATTATTTTTCATAATGGAGAGTCAGAGCTTCCTCTTTATATCTATCGGTGTCCGCACTTACCTCAAGACTCGGACCCAAGAGACATCAAGAATTTTTAGTATAACGCTTCTTTCTATTTATTATTATTATTATTATTATTATTATTATTATTTTTCATAATGGAGAGTCAGAGCTTGCTCTTTATATCTATCGGTGTCCGCGCTTACCTCAAGACTCGGACTCAAGAGACATCAAGAATTTTTAGTATAAAGCTCATGAAAAGGTTTGAACTTAAGACCTAACCAAAAGGAATCGGACCCTTACCAATTGGGTTGACCCTAGAGGCTGCATGTCTCAAAAGCTTCTCAACAATACACAATTAGATTAGAACGGTGAAGACCAGGAGTATGAGAAGTTCCCAAAACAAAGAGAACTCATCTTATGATAATTGTTTTGATGCGACGAAATGACATTCACCAGAAAGTGAAATCCTCAAAACAACAAAATTTGGGAGGAGGAAGCAGAAGTTCCTAAAGCCTGAACCAAATAGAAAAGGAGTGGCATCATAAAAGTACCAAACTGAAAGAGAGCAGCACCATGCCATGTGTTTTTGTCAGCAACATCTCAAATCAAAAAGAACTTGACCAACACCGAAACTCCATCAAATTTTACACTGAATACACTACACTGGAGCCACTAATTTTAGACATAATTCAAAGTGAGCTATGTACACATCTAATTCACACACATTCAAGCCCGTGAAACCTGCAGATGATAGGCGGCATCGCAGTCCCTCTCGAGCCTTTGAAGATACTCAAGAATGGTGCATCTTCACCAGTGCTTGGTAAAACTTATCAATAAATTGATCGTCCTAACACAAACAATATTCCACATGTCAGCCTGTGCCTCAGAACTAAAATAGTTTTCATCGTACATAAATTCGTTTCATGCGTAATTGAAATGGACAACAAAACCAAGTTAAATGCCAGCAGTCCTCTGAGTGACCGAGTCAATATGCAGTTCGGTGTAGCATAGAAATAACATTTATTTTAAGAGGTTGAAATTGTTTATACAGAACGCGGGAGCAAGGGGATCAATAAGAAACAACCAGTTTCAAATTGAAACGCAATTATGGTTAGGATAGAGCTATTGCCAAGGGTATCATTAGTTGGTGAGTTTATCAAAGTCAACCAGAGTTGTTAGAAGGAATTGTTATTGTGCAATAGACATGAATAGGGGAAGAGGACAGAGAAGGATCATTGAGAATTTTGTATGAGATTAGCTTTAAGGGAGGGTCTTTTAGGCTGGCTTTTTGAATTGCCGTTTCTTTCTGCCTATATTTCCATATTCTTCTCAGTTATTCAATATACCTTAGATGAACTGGAATTCTGGTTCCTAACATAGGTAGCTTACCAACAAACCATATGAGTGCATAATCTTCTACAAAGTTGAACCAAAACTACTGCTGGTCATAATATTGTTATAAAATATGAGAACGATACCTGAACAAGCATCAGAAGTGCATCACGAACTTTGTCCCTGCTAATAAGAGGCCCGTCATTGAGAGCAGGAGCAGAACCAGGTGTGAGTGACGGCGGTGGATTAGGTGGCGGAAATGGCTGGAGCATTGGGGTCCCATATGGACTTTGTAAATTAAGTGGAGGATGAAGTGTAGGCATTGGCATGGATGAGGACATAGGGGGTCTCATTGGTGCAGATGAGAAAGATGGAGGAGGAAAGAATGAAGAGGGCTTCACAAGATTAGTGACCTGATTAGCGTTAATGTTTGGGTCAGATGGTCCATAAGGAGAGGTTAGTGTAGATGAGGCTGCAATAGGAAAAGATGGCTGTGGATTCAGTGCAGGAGTTGATACGATATTAGGCGGAAGCAAAGATGGAGGTGGGTTTATAGCAGAAGCATGATATGGCTGTCTTGAATCTGGTATATTTGGAGCATTGTTTCCAATATTCATAGCCGCCTGCAGAAATACCATCTAGGTCAACCGAATGGCATTGGAAATAAAATGACCCACAACGAACAGACAGAAAAGCTTAGCAGAATGGACTATGGAGTAGCAAAACCACACAATTGCAAAGTATAGAAGTTGCTTTGTGGATATCATCCAAACCAAGACATTCATAAGAAAATGGTAGTCTCTTCCGAACATGGTTATTCAGAATATGGCAAGAAAAGGGTTTCTCCATAAATGTCGTTATATTATACACACATTTTAACCCTTTTTCTTGGTTAGGGAATGAGAAATACAATTTCCATTGGGAGATGAAAAAGAAGTACAAGAAAGGCAGCAAGGGAGGCATACATATTTACCAAGTTATTTAAAATATATATATAGAAAAAGACAGTAGAACTCTAATGCTTAATTTTAGCCATACATATAACATATTTCACAGGATATTAAAAAAAATCCGTTGCTAAGGAAAACCTAGGAGACAATTATCTTATTTGCAATTGATTAATCTTGGGACCAATTTTCTAGTTTAATATTTAAAAATAAAAAAATAAATGGAGCTTAGTGAATGAAATATCAAGAAAAATTTAGCCAGAAAGTGAAATTTAAATACAAACTATGAGTTTATATGAATTTGGTCAATCACACCAATAACTGTATGTTCAGACCAGCAATTTCAAAGCCAATTAATAGATTAGCTAATATATTTCCAGGTCTAGCCGATGAAAATCATCTCTTAATCAGTGAACTTATTTGTCACCATTCGCAACCATTTCACCCGAAAGTTCAATTATTGGAGTGACAGTAAACATTGATGCCAAATAATAACCAAGTTTTGTTTCATGGTCGGAAGTTTTTCATTCAGTAAAAGAAATTTTCATCAGAATTTGGTCTTCTCATATTTTCTCTTTTTATCTCTCTCTCTCCGTTTAACCAAAATTGAGAGCTTGTTCTGGCTTCACAAAAAATGTTCCCTTCTACAATTCTAACAAACAAGGTTGGATAAGGAGAGGCTTACGGTAGCCCGAGTTCCATGATAAAATATTGAGTCCAAGAAAAGGAAGCTAAAAACGTTCCACTAAAAAGCTAGCTAAAAAATAAAAAGAAGGGAGGAGAGCAAAAAGATAAGGATAGAGAACAAACACTAAAAAAATTCACGAAGGATGGATCTTCAGGGGCATCCGTGACAGTAGAGGGCGGTGCAGAGGGCTCTAGTGGACCTTCAATAATTGACATGGTTGGCACTGCCTCCAGCTCCTCAAAATCACTGCATAGGAAAATAAATGAAAAATAGTTGTAGAAAATTAGAAAATTAGTTTGTTTCCAGAACTTAAAAATATCCAAGACAATCTGAAAAAACTGATATTAAAACCCTTGTGGAGAAGTGTGGACTACGGTCAAGTTAACACCTCCTCTTGGATGTTTCTAACCCAAGAGTTTTGTGATTATCCAATGTCAAGTATTCTTGAGAAGTCAACACCTCCTCTACAGTCAAGGCTTGGTTTTTCATTTGGAAAAAGACGCTTCTCAATAATCCAATCAAATATGACTATGATATGGCTCAATCAAACAAGATAAAATAACTCATATAACAAGAATATGACATTAATACACAACAATGTTTCCAAAAGGCAATCATGGTACAAATACACAAACTAAAATTCTCCAATCTAATATAAAATTTGCTTGAAGTAATTAATGATAACATTATCGTTACCCCTTGCTTGAAGAAACTTTAGACTTTAAAGGAACCTTCGAGAATGCATTAAGTATTCTGCAAAATAAAAAGGACAAATACGTCTCATGTAAGAAACTTAGAACCCCATAAAATTTCTCTGTGAAATTTCTTGACAACACAATGAAAGTCAGGTGTATAATTTTTAAATAAGAGAACATTCATATAGAAGGTGGAGAAAATACTAAATTTCCAACCCTAACCATGACGAATGGTTTTTCCAAATAGAGAACAATTTTATTAAAAGGGAAGTGAGTCTGTGTGTGGGTTGGTGGGGGTGGTAGATAAGGTATACGGTGTCAACCACACATGAGAATCTAATAATTCCCCACAACATAGTTGAACACACTTAACCCTGCATCCCTACACCTTTCCTCATAAAGGCCCTTTTTTTAGATAAGACCTTTCCTCATAAAGTCCTTTTTTTAGATAAGACCTTTCCTCATAAAGTCCTCATAAAGTCCTACTTCTCTCTCTCGAAATCACTCAGAGAATTGGAACCACCACATTTGGTCACATAGTCCTGGATCTGTTAGACCCTAAGACCTTCCACTTGATTTGAGAAAATTGACCACACACTTAGCCACTGCGTAGCAGCAATAAAAATTTTCCTAAAGCTTTCAGAAATCTCTTAACCCATAAGCTAATAAGCGCCATAGTTCTTTTTTTCCTTAAGCTGGCTTGGCCCTTGGACACCATAGCCCAATGAACTAGGTTCGCCCATCCGTCCTCATCCACCTCTTCAACCACAAAGTCTCTCATGATATATCAACCAATCTACCTTTAAAGAAATTTTGAATGAAGACAACATGTTTTAAGACTTTATTGAATTAGAGCCGTTCTCCCTCCTTTAGAAAAGTAAGAGACTTCGCATCTTTCTAGAAACCAAGGGCTCCAGTACAATTGTGGTTATAACTTGCAACCCTAAAAGGCCTATAACATTGAAACAGAAACCCACATACCAAACACAGTGACCAAAAGCCAACCTAGCCGGTCTAAGCCTCCAAAAACTTTACAAGTGCGATGAGACCGAATGATATTAATTCCCAACATCAACTAATGAACTTTTAGAATGTTTACGAGGGAAGAAGAGGCTGTAAACTTTTGTTAGGATTATTTTATATCCAAGAGTAAAACATTGGTTATGAACAACTAACCAGCGTCGTACGTATTTGCAAGAACAACACCATAGCCCATAAGGTAAAACTCAAATACAGACTTGGAAGAAGTGAAAATTTTCCTTTGGACACTAATTTGTAGAGGCCTAAATACGCAAGACAAATCGCAAAAGGAAAACCCTCCTCTAGCCACTTTTACCCAAAATTTTTGTGAACCGTAGGAAAAATCAAGAAATAGTCAAACCACTTTTCCATTCATTGCAACTTAGCTAGAGAAAGGTGGGCTAACATAAAAATACTAGTTTTTTGTTTCCAAAGCCCAAAGTGTTGGTGGCTTCACAGCAAAAGATCAATACTTCAGAGAACTGCTAAAAGAAACAATATGATCTCCAACAACAAAACATAGGGACTTCTGTAATCTTTTTGGATATTGAACAATGTACAGTACACAACCTTTAGTTGAAGTCTTTTACCTAAAGCTTCATGTAACTACACCACCCACTTAATTAACTTAGATGCCTTATCTCCCTGGCTTTTCTTTTGTATGGTCCCTTCTTATTCAATGGGAACTTTCATATAAAATATATATATGATAATGATGGTCTAATTGATAAATTTTCACAAAAACCCAAATTTTATGTGCTAGTCATATGATGATAACAATGGTCTAACTGAAAAGATATTAATGGATAAACAAGGTACTATACCTACTAAAGAGGTTTGCAACATCCTCGCATTCACGTGGATTGTAAAACCAAATGCCATTAACTTCTTGCGCAGCATTTCGGTACAATAGATAAGGAGCTTGAACTTCATACTCAAAATCCCCAAGTAGATTCTCCACTAGATTATCTGGTAAAATAAATATACATATCAAAAACTATGGTTTAAGTATACACGAGTTCAATTCAATGCTCTCAATATTGATCACATGCAATTTCAACAAAATTAGAAGTTCAAATCTTGATGAGAACAAAATGGAATTGCAATTATAAACACCCAAGGTGCCAATTTCACTTATTAGCTTGCCTATTAAAATTTCAAGTTGCATGTTTTCACAAATACAATCACTGTTTTTTGCTACATGAAGGAAGTATATTGCAAGTTATAGACTGAAGCTTTTATCATTCTCAATTCCCATGCTAATAAATGTGCTGGTCTTAAAAACTGTTGAAAATTTTTTGGAAGTAACACACCCTTTCTGATATCATTGGGAATTAGTAGTACGATGTATCAAGAGTTTTAGAAAATCACCATGTTTAGCCATATAGTAGAACGTTAACTATATTGAGAAGATATTTTCTTATAATTGAGAAAAACGTTGCATTACTAACCTGTGTTGCGTCGATTCATCACAATGAATTGGAACCGAGGTTGAGCATTTCTTGAAACGAGAAGACACGTATATTAACATCAGGGAATTCAAAAATCTCTAAGGCCAAACACAACTACAAAAGAAACCTTCATCCAGAAATTTAAATAAAACCAAAGACAAAAACAAAAATCTGATGAAAACCTCTTCACTACGAAAAGAGATCCTTCGACGTCCTTCCGACTCTGCAAGCATACCAAAAACGAGAATACAAAATATGAGAATACAAGAAAACAACCAGATATACCCTTTTTTCATTAGCTTGTGAGAGATTACACAATAGGAAATTTTAAAACTTATTTCGTGGAATAAAATTGCTAAAATTTCCTCGCTAAAACATTCCAAGAATGCTGATTAGATTTCATTAGCCCAACAGATCGACAAGGAATAAGCAACATAAGATCTCGAAATTTTAATGCTTTACTTTCAACCTCCCAACACTTGCGCTGCGAATAAAACCCGAACGATACCGAAACTGCAGCTGGACTTACCCATTGATTGGTTTCGATATTGAACTCGTAGAACGTCACATGGGCGGCGGTGATTAAAATTTCTTCGATGAAAGGATCTATTCTCTGCAACACAGTAAGATTAAGCATTTTCGTGCTCTGCTGATCGAGATTCGGCATCAATTTTCCGGACTGAGTCATCTTCGATTGACAGAACACTTGGCTATCTTAAACCCTCGGATTTCTTGGCTCAGAGAACTCTCCTCTTTCGTTGTTTTTTTTTCCCGGGAAACTGACGGCGGTTGAAGAGGGACCAACACCAGCTTGCGAGCAACGAAACGAGACGCTATTCTGGTGGAGGCGGAAACTGGAAACTCGGCGGCTGATTATAGATCGTGAATTGAACTCTCAGTTGCCGTTCTCTGCAAAAAAATTCTTCCTTTTCTTCGCTCAATCCTCTCGATGTTCTAATTAAAAAGTTTTGGACTTTACTTAATTTGTTTCCAAATTAGGTTTTTCTTCCCTTTTCTTGTTTAATAAATTAAATACTCGATTATACAAAATATCACAAATTCATATAATTAGTCTTAATTAATAGATATTTTAAAAGAAATTACAAATGGTGGGTGCTAAAATTTGCCTTCAAGATCTATTGTTTTTACAGAATCGTCAAAGATAAACTTATAGTCTAATATTATTGTTTATCCTTTCCTTTTTTTTTTTTAAGGATATCCTTTCATTATTTATATAGTTTCCCTATGAAAAATAAATAAATATATATATATGTATATGATCCTAAAATCTTAGAAGAATTAGAAATTGTCACAAAAATAATCTCGTTGAAATTACTATATTATAATTTTTGTAAAAAATAAAAATTTAACTAATTGGAAGTATTAATTTTACCGCTTATTCAATCTAAAATATCAAAGTAAAAATATGGTTAAAAAAGTTTAATTATTACTTAAATTTTAAAATAGGACTAATTGAGACTAGATAATTATATGTTAATTTTAAAAACATCATGACACTTCTCAATCCAAATTCTTTAGAATATCAATTTGACAACTTTTAACTTAACTTCTTTATTTGACTAATATTACAATAAACGGGTTACTAAAATAAGAAAACAATATAATTTGATATTAGTGTAGATTATAATTTTATTTTATATTGGTAGAATGGGGTAATATCGTCAATATAAGTGGGGCATCCTCAACATCTTTATGGATTATAATTTTTTCCTTTTTTATATTATCTTTTTATGTTTTAATTATATATGCTGATTGTATGAAAAACTTTAAATAATCACTTACACTTACAATTACACCAAGTTCTCACATCACTGTCACTTGATAGTTCAAGCTAGTTTGGAAATTTTTTACAATTTTTTTTTCCTTTTGATATAGTACCAAAAATACCCTACGAACAACTTTCATGGTGACAAGTTAGGTTTTTATGGGAGAAGAAGTTGAAAGAGATGAGAAATTTGTAAAAAACTCAAACGAGAAAACGATACGATAATACAATATGATAACAATGTTGCACCTCCCTACCACTCGTGAATTAAGAATTCTTGCAACAACAAGGTCTACCCGACATGAATTAAGAGTTAATCAAACTTATGATTCTCAACTAATGTTAAGAATTGCCTCTTCAAATTCGACTAATTCACATGCTAAGGGTTGCCCTTGTCGTGGGACTTAACCCAACACTTACGGCACGAGCTGGTGCTCATTATCAAAAAAGAAGATCAATAGTATAAATAAGCTAAAGTTATCTTATTGTATTACAAAATTAGAATTAAGTGCTATTATATCTTTTAGAATTATGAGAGCAAAATGCAAAAAGAAAGAGAATTTTTTTAATTTTTAAAAAATTAAAAGAGTAGAATCTTGATAACTAAATACTTTTAACTATTGCATTATATATTAAAATTAGAGCCACAATTACAATTCAAATAATGAAGACTAGACCACCCCAAATTTTTGCAACAAAAACAGTGACAATCGCTAAAATATACACACATACATACATAAAAGCACAACTTTTCCAATTCTTGGAAGCCATTTTTACACAAGAAACCAAAAGGCAACAATATATAAAAATCTTAGAAAAATGAGAAAAAAGTAAAGTTACAACAACAATTCCTAGAACCCAATTCCACAAACACAGCAACAGATCAGAGGATTTCACACCACACGAACAAAACCATACCAAATTGACCCAATTTGTAGAAAATCTTGCAAGTGATCAAGAACCAATTTTGATCAGTGGTGTTTGAGGGACAGAGCAGAGAACAAGATGAGGAGAAGGAACAGCAACACTGCAGCAAAAGAGCCGATCACGGCGCCGCTGGCTTGCTGGCAGAAGTCCCCAAATTGGTTGCAGATCGCCAGCCAGTTCGTGCTCGAGTTCCCGCTGTGGGCCAGGGAAACCACCGCTGCAGCCGCCCCTGCAGCCACCGTGGTCAGTGTGAGTGCCACCTGTCAAATATATATTATATATTATCATTGGTTCACGTGTATGATAAGAAACCTAATAATGGTTTATAATATAAGTGGACTATTCCTTCCGCATTTTTTTTTTTACTCAAAATATATGGTTGACCAGTTCGTTTATTTTTTTTTTGGGATAAAGTAATATGTGGTTGGTTTTAGGATTTATTAGGAGAATATAGTTGTTAGGGAATAAAAAGAGGCACTTTTTTAAAGTCTTATTTAGTATTTTGTATTGATTTTTATCAAACAAGATATTTTCCATTTACACCCTTTATTATTATTTTTTTGTTTAAATAATATTTTGATTATTGTATTTTTTAAGTTTCGCCTATATATTTTCAAAATGTTTACCTTCATCTATATACATTCAAGTACTTTTAAAGTCTTCATTTTGAATATTAGATTTTTAAAAAATGATTAAAATTGATCGTAATTTGAAGTAGAAACTTTTTTAACACAAATTTATGACCACATTTCAACAAATTTAAAGTGAATAATGTTAAGGATCACATTCATAAAAGAATGAAGCTTTTATAATAAACATGACTACTCCTCTCATTGTTGGTTGAGATATAATCTCATGAATATTAATATAGTATGAGATTCCAAAAACGCACGAACGAACATTCGGTCCATAGGATCTGACGAAGATTTTTTCTGCTAAATATTTTCGAAAAAGAAAGAGAAAAATATGTTTGAATATTAATGGAAAATAGTTACCGAATCCAAAATCAACAAAAGAAGGCGAGGACCAACAGCATGGGGACGAACAATGCAAACAATGGAGAATGGAATTGAGAGCACCACATAACCCGCAACTATTCCCATGGCGATAACAAAAAACCTGCACCACCACTCAATTTTCTTCATTATTTATTTCCCCAACAAAAATATAAACAAATAAATATATATATATATATTGACAAATTTAACTTAACTGGAAAGTGGGCAAATCATCGTAGCTCGCCTCGAACTGGAAAAACTGAGTGAAAAATGGCAGCGTTTCGTCGCTCGTTCCCATGGCCGCGGCCGCCGCAAGCGCCGCCGCCAAGGCTCCGATTCTGAGAACGAAGTCGAAGATGGCGAGGCCGCGTTTCATCCGGTGGGTTCCCCTGTCTTGCCGGACGGGAACAGGCGCCGCCAGCAGCGGCGTCGTGCTCTTCTTCTTCCCGATGGGCCCGCTGTTGGGGTTCTCAGGGGCCACGTCAATGGCGGTCGATTCGCTGTTCTTCGTCATTTTTTTTTTCTTTTGTTGAAAAACGAAATTGAAGTTGAGAAAAAGTTTGAAGAAGCTGAGATTTAATATTGTTGAGAATGGATGTTACGGTGCAGGGTTTGGATTTAAATAGGGAATGGGAAAGAGAATTAGTTGTTGGTTAAACCTTCTCCATTGTTGAATAAAGAGTTGCAGGTGGAGAAGGTGTTGCATTATAAGGAAGATGAGTTGGGGAATTCTAGCTACTACCATAGCTAATCCAATACAAATTAAAATCATTTCTTTTTCTTTTTTTTTTTAATATACTCTTCGTATCATATCCCAACTTGTTTTACTTTTGTTTTTGTTCAATTATACGTCTTTGACTTTTTAAGTATAAAATTCTTAAATTTTTAATTTCTATGTCTCGACTTTCGCATCTAATAGATTTGTTAGTTTTTAATTTTGTGTTGAAAAAATGGCTATTAAACATAAAGATTGGATTTTGTAACTACTAAAAATTGGAGAACTTTTAATTTTGGGTCTGATATGATTGTGAATTTAAAAGAAAAAAATATTTAATATATCAAAAGATTATCGTAGGCACAAAATCGAAAGTTTATGAACATACACTTTTTAAAAATTTATGGTCATACACAATTTTAAAAGTTTATAGATAAAATTTGTAATTTAACCTCAAGAGAAAAAGTTGGGAATAGATACACAGACAAAATTTATAGAGAATATGACTAATTAGGCAAAATATAAATGATTTATCCAATGAACAAGAAAAAATTTGAATCCTAATCTTCAGACCTCACTTTTGTCCTAAAAAAAAAGAATGTGATTGTGAAATATTTCTTTTAGAACAATATTTTTGTTACTGCTTTTGACTATTTTGATGATGGAAATTAAAAATCTGTTGTTTAAATTATTTGGTTTGAGTTAATAAGAATAACACACCTAAGAAGTAGGGCCAACTCACAGTCAAACCAAAGGAGGAAATAAAACCAAGAACAATAGCACTGTCCCCGGTTGGTGCAATGTAATTGCAAGCAAAACATAGATAACTCCTAGAAGTAAGGAAAGTTAAAAAAAAAAAAAAAAAAAAAAAAAGGCTTTTTGATAAGTAGAAGAGAGAAACGTTGGAAAAGAGACGTTTTTTCTTCTGTTTTTTAAAAAACTAAAAAGTTATCAAATTTTTATTGGTGGTCTACGTAATACCCAAATAGTGCTCAAATCAAAAATCATGAATGTAAATCTACACTCTGACATGTTGATGTACTAAAAAAAATTGATCGACGATGGGAACAAATCGTTGACAAAAAGGGGAAAAAGCTACAACAAAAGGCACATTCATCCAAAACCAAAAGTGCCTCAATTTCTAATTGGAGAAGTGGTAGTAGTTTTCAAGGGCTTGAAGGTGGTGGCTGATATGGAGTTGGGCAGAGCAAACATGGTTTCAAATTGCCCTCTAATGAAGGGTTTCATGGAAAAAGGCCTTGAAATTTAGCTAAAGTTGGTTCCATCAGTTTCCAAATGCCCTTTAAACAAAAGCATTTCTAAGGAAATCACTTTTCGGTATTGTCTTTTATACATCATCCTTTCCTCTGATGGTAAAAAAGGCTGCACAATGACATAACTTGGTTAATTTTGCAAATTAGAAAAAGTATATATATTCAATTAATAAATACTATTAAAATGTACTTAATGAGTCAATTAAAGAGTAGAGTACTTGTCTTGAATGTTTTATATTATAGTCAACAGGCAGTAGCCACTGCTGACTCATTACAAGCTTCCATCAACAGCTGCAAACAATCACTTCATGCACAAAAGTTTCCAACCAAAGCCAATCATATCTACAATTCTCAAAATCTTACACCTAAATACCTCATTAATTTTCTTCCATGGAAAATTCATCTCCAATAACAACATAAGGGGTTAATTAGGCACTTTAGAATGTTCCCAACCACAAACTTCCTACACAAGCCATTTCAATTTTTTCACAGCACCATTACTAAAGCAAGACCTCTATGATATACAAATGACATCTAATTTTCTATGATTCAGTGGGGAAAAAATGAAGTACAACTATCTCTAGCGGTAAGATTCCAAACCTATATTTTATCTCCAGGCAAGCGTCGAAGATATATTGATCATCTGCAACCTCAGAGATGTTGGAGTTCTTGACCATTTTTTACCATTACCCAATGCTCAATACTCTGTAGTCGCTACGGGCAAATGAACATGTTTTTTTGCTTGTTTCCTGTAAAATTTCCAAAAGTGCCAATCAAATTCGTGTTTCAGTTGAGCTTGCCTGGTTTTTTCGTCAGATGCAATGGATCTCCGTTTTCTCCACAAGGGGAACGAGTGACGATATCAGAGGAAACTGGACAATGTCCATTGGATTTGATGGATGCAGGGCTATCCTTTGAGGGGGAAATGTTTGATTCCATTGTTGTAATTGGCTCTTCTGAAGCAGCTTCTTGCTGTCGTAGAATTTCTATGCGCCTTAATGATGGCACATCTCCCTTACAGTACCTCTGCCACATTTTACGATATGTGGACTCCAGACCAAGGATGAAATTTGGCCCATCACAAACAGGAGACTTCGACATAAGATCCCGAAGACTCATTCTTAAGTTAGAAAGTGCTGTTACATCAGATGCTAGCTGCAATGCTAATTTTACATATTCCTCCTCGTTCTTAGCAATCAGGTGTCCTAAACCTGCTTTGAAACATGCAAAATGTCAAATATTTTATTGATCGTGCAAGATTGCAATTATTCAGAAAAGGATAGACCCTATAAACTTGAGAAAGCAAAAGAAGATGCCCTTAATCTGTCTATATTTCCAATTTATTATTGTGGTCCCTCTGCCTTAAAGCACCAATGACAGTTCAAAAGAGAAAATCCAACTTCTAATTACATCCTGACTGGTGCTCCATCTACAAAAACAATGGGAGTACCAATCATCTCTTTCTGTTTTGCCTTTTCGCTACCTATATTTGCTACATTATCTTCAGCCTTTTCCTTCTACTTTGCCTAGTTCAGCACCTCAACTAGTAATCAAAATTTTCTAGTCAGCAGTTCAGAGGGCAAAAGATTTATCAGACATGGTTAAACGGAGAGGAAAGGGTTAGAGAAGACATGGTGAGGGAGGCGGGGGAGCCGGCGGAGAGGGAGAGAGAAGTCATCAGGGATAGGAGTAATGTGTGTAGCTCTATCTCTTCTTGCAGAGGGCAAAAGATTTATGCTGTGGTAATTCGGCAAATCTGATCGAAGAATAGTAGGATCTCCACAATACTGAAGAGAAGACTGACCTTGGAGCTTTAAGTCTTAAGTTCTTTTAGTAATTACTCTTTAACCACTATATGCCAATTGGATAGGTTTCTTATAGCTCCTTTGGTTCCTTTTTTGTAGTTTCATTCATGACAATAAATTAGTCTCTTATATATATTATAAAATGCCAACTTAAGGTTATCCGTTGAAGAGTAAACAGTAGAAAGCAAAAATTCCAAATATTGAAGGTTCTTCAATGGAACCTTGTTAGAGAGGGGCTGAATACAGTAAGTAGAATTCGAAGGAAATAACCTTTCTACCAAGGATGCTGAAGATTGTGGTTATCTTTCGTTTTCTTTCCAATACTTTTAGGGAGTATTTATTAACGAAGTTTGGTTTAGCTGGTGTTTCCAAGAACGACAGTTCTCTGTTCGGAACAACTTTGTGGGGTGGCCCTTGATCCTAAGACAATAATGTCTGGGTGTCAGAAGTCTGTGCAAGTTTTTGGGAAATTTGGAGAGGAATCTTAGAATTTTTAAGATAAAGCTAAAGAGTGGAAGGAGTTACCGGATTCTATTTATTTTGTCAGCTTCTTTCGGAGAGCTCTCTCTCTTCATCATTTTGTAATTATAACTTCTTATACATACCAATTGGAGTTTTTTTGTATGCTCCTTCGATGTTCAACCATTTTCATTCTTTTGTTCTTTCCATCTTTTAAAAGAAAATCTTTTTGTAATTATAACTTCTTATACATACCAATTGGAGTTTTTTTGTATGCTCCTTCGATGTTCAACCATTTTCGTTCTTTTGTTCTTTCCATCTTTTAAAAGAAAAGTTTCATTTCTTATCCAAAAGGGAAAAAAAGGAAGAAAGAAAACACGGTAACTTTCATGAGATAGCAAAAACTGCATTTGATATTCTGGATGGAGTTCGGCTCAAGGCATTTAGTCTCATTCATACAAAATCTACTTCATTTATGATTCTCCCTGTTCAGTTTGGTTGTTAGATCTACCAAAACCAGGCCACAAGAATTGAAGGATGCAAATTTAAACCACCGAACAAGAAGGATGGTTACTCACCAACTTTGCTGAGAAGACTAACACCGACATTGTGAGCATGAACAGATCCAGCCATTGTTACACATGGAACTCCCATATACAATGATTCGCATGTAGTTGTGGTTCCAGCATATGGAAAAGTATCCAAACTACACAAAATGCACACAAGAATTCTTAAAAATCTCACAAAAGACAAAAAGAAGTCGAGAATTATACCATTAAATCTGAGTCCCTAGATGCATTAGTAACCACAGACATTGATCTTCTTGTCAATCCTCTCAGAAACAAAAATCCTCTCACAAAAATTGTCAAATGGGAGAGATTTGTAGTTGAAAGTTTGATTTTTCCTTCTTGTGCTAGGGCCTTGGTCTGTGATTTCTAATAGAAGGATTTTATTTCCTTCTAACAATAAGAATGTTGCATTCTCATATAATTACACTTTTTAGTATCTAGATTTGCATGTTTAAATTTTTATTTTAAAAATCATATTTAGTAGCAAAAATCATATTAAGATTATTAATATAAAATGAATTTAAAAGAAATTAAGCTACATGTCCCCAACATGTACACTTTCTGGTTTTTCAAAAAATTGATGTATTGTCATGATCATGTTGTAACGCGTCCTTACTTATGTTCCATACTCAACTTAACAACATCATATAGCCAAAAAGAGAAAAAACTCAATTAAAACCACACAAGATGAGGCAAAAATTCTTCTCAAAATTTACCTTATATCCATCAAGGAGTAGGCTTGCATATGGTCATGATTCAAAAGAATAAGAGGAAGAAGATCGACCCGTTGTGATTCCAAACCAAGCTGCTCCAAAGTTGAAAGAAATCTTTGTCTCACACTATCACAACAGAAAGGCTTACACTTTACCACGAGTCTCGAATTTGGTATGGCGCATAGAATCCTTGCCCAAACTTGTAAAACTTTAGGTGTTATCTAGTGAGAGGATAAAGGGAGAAAAAGCAACAGCAAAAATATTAGATCACAAATTTATAACCGTTAGAAACTGTATGGTTGCAGCTATCTTCAAAGAAATGCATGATTACTTGGATAAAAAATAAAACAAGGGAAAAAAATGCAGCGGACAAGTATACAATTACTTTTTAATCTATACCTTTGCAAGATTATTGAAGCTACCAAATGTGATGAAGCCATTAGAAATAGCTGGAGCACTGGGCACGGTACCAGCCTCAGGAGAAGGTGTATAACAAAGGAAGCATTCTGGCAACCTAACCAACTCCTCAACGTGCCTGTGATAAATAATGGAATATAATACACATAATTGATGTAAAACAAAAATAACTCCACATGTTTCGTCCTTTAATTAGTAGATGCAGGAGACCTACTTCTGTTTTGTATTGGGAGGATCTGCCAGTGAATCTGTAATCCGATAATCTATAGTGGGCAAACCAGTTGTGTTTGGGTAGCCAATCCATGTTACCTAAATAAAACCCAGCACCATGCATAAAAAGTTAACAAAGTGTAGGTAACAAATATCCAAGGATAAAAGTAGAGGCTTGAGGTAAAAAACACTAAATCCATTTATGCAAGAACACCTTCCTTTTCTGGGGGATAAGAAACTATTTTCATAAAATAATTGAAATTAACATGACAGTAACGTTATGTTGTAGCAAAAATTCAACAAGACACGGACAATTATTCCATACTGCAGGATATGAAAGTGTAAATGGTAGACAGTTTCAAACCCAAGATAATGCAAGCTAATGAATCAATTTTCAGTCAGTCAAAGAACAAGAAATATATCTTCCAGCATACCTGAACAGGCGCAGGTCTACATGCCATCATCCCCAACTTATTATTAGCTGTATGGCCAGTAAGCTCCACCAAGATATCCACTTTGTCTTCCCTAACCATGCTTGCAACCTTTTTTTCATCAATTCCATATATATCCCTCCAGGCCCCACCTTGTTTTAAGACTTTGTCCCTAAACCTAATGGTTTTTGCATCTGCCTGTAAAGAAATATGAAACCATCCATGCTGTTACAGGAGCAGGTGAATAATAGCAGGTAATGGACTATTTTGCTTATATGAACTTCCAAGAAACAAGAATGGTAAAATAGGCAACATAGAGTTAATAGCAATATGTAGAGCCAATTTAGTCAAAAGAGACAGGTCTAGGAGGGTTTTTAAACTCAAGTCGCGATATTGAGAAATTTGGATGTACAAAACATTACAGGTTGGCAATCATGGCTAGGTTTACAAGAGAAGAATTTGAAAGAGCCTGCAAACTGGTAGGCTTTGCAATATTACTGATGCAGCTTGATAGTCGCTGGAAGTCAAGAAAAGGCACTTTTACAACCAGTAACATGGTAAGGGGAAATGCTTTGGTAATAATTCCATATGATGCAAAGTGATAACTAAAACAAAATACATATAATCAAGCATAATAGAGGTATGTAAAAAGTTTGCAACATTGTAAATAATACCAATACCTTCACAACTGCCGAATAAACAACCACCTTGTAATTTGCATAATCATGATGGACTAGGGGAGCTTCAATGAAGTAGGACACCGAGTGAGTAAAATAGTCAGGAGACACATAGCCGATAACAAGTGGACGTTCTGGGTCTTTCGGGTTATCCCATGATGTGTATTGTGGATACAACCCCATAAACCGCCTGCCCCAATCCCTTTATAATTACCAAAAAATCTTGTTAAATTTAGGACTTCAAGTTTAAATCAAAGCTACAAAAGGACATTTGACATCGATCTGCTATTGTAGATTCTTGCGTGTGAAAAATACATATGAGGATCAGTATAGAACCAATAAAATGAAAGAATATGTTAGAGTAGATTGGTGATCACAAAGCGGAAAAAAAAAAAAAAAAATATATATATATATATATATATCTGCAGGAGAATATGGTGCTCTTGTCAACATAAAAGAAGAAGTTCCAACCATTCTCCATCTATTTTTTTTTCTTTTTTTGGGAACAAGAAACGATATATATTTAACACAAGAAACAAAAGAACGGCCTAAAGGCAGGGGATGAGAAACCCCCCTCCTAACAAAATCATGAATAATAGCTTTCATATAATCGTATAATCATAAATAAGCTGTAGTAATAAAAGAATTTCGTGTGATTTAGACACCACTAAAATGTGGTAAGCTGTACACCAATTCAAAAAGAACCAATAGAGGACATTATTCCCTTGAAAACTCTTTGGTTTCTTTCCCTCCAAATTCTCCATCCAGTTTCAACAGAAAAAAATCAAGCTTGTTCCTTATCTACATGCCTCATAATAGTTTCATCTAGTTGAATGAAAACAAGAAGCACAACCAGCTACTATGGGTTTGTACTGTTTGGAGAATGAGAATCTCAAATTCTGTCACTGTGGAAGTACCTTTAACTACTAACCAAACTACCCCAAGGAATGACATTTCTAGCAAACAGGTCACTTCTTAAGCCAAACGTCAGACAACCAACCTCCCTAAAAGTAAGGTCTAACCATGAGCATCAGACGCATTAATTACATCTAGGGAGGTTGGTTGTCAGAGCGTCAGAAGCATTAAGGCAAAACCAATGGACATATTTTGATGAAAAGTCAAGGGATCAATGATTTTCTGACAAAATCAACATGTCAATCAATGAAGGAAAAATCCGATATTGCTGCTACTCTTTTGCTACGTCGATTTTTATTCACCAGAACCCAACGATGTAATCATGATGAGCCAGGTTGCACAGTTGCTTGCAGGTGGCCATAGCCATATTCTGATATTTATTTGTTTAGGATAATTCATTCATACATGATCAAATTCACGATCACAAGTTTCCAATCCACTTATTAATTGGATTTCCCACTTCTCATTAATGAGAAACTTTGCTTTGCTTTACATTATTAATATTATAGGAATATAAAAAATAACAAAGACACAAGGAAAAGAAAATCACAACAGTAAACAGTTCATAAAACCAAGTTAATGCATCCACGGAAGATTGATAATGTAGGGGGGGAATCATCTGAAACCTGTGAGCCTCGTAAAGTTTATTTTCATGTCCTTCATCAATGTAGTTCATAGCAAGCAGTCGATTCTGTGGGAACAAGAAATAAACAAGTAAGAAACCATTGTTTAGGGAAGAAAGTAAAATTTTAGAAATCAGAAGACAATTTTACGGGCCAATGATCATGATGCAATATGTCCTTTGCAATAAATGGAAATCAAACTTTAGAGGCGGACTCCATACAAATAATCTATGTAGTATTTCGAACATAGTTTTGGGCCTTAGATATTACTTTATGTACAACGAACCACATGAACCTCTGATTGAAAATTGGAAGTTATAGAAATGACCAGAGGAAGAGATGTCAGATAATAAGTGAAAGGCAAGCTTCAAGAAATGGTTATTTCAACAGGTTGCTGGTCCGCCAATAATTAACTTTCTTTGGTTGAAAGAATTGTGAATTACAAAGAATGAAAGTACAAAAAGAGCACACCCAAGCATGCACACACACAAAGAAGAGAATTGCAAGAAGCCTAAGTTGTTGGTTTTTTTTTCTTTTCCAGTGTAAGAAACAAGTTGTTGGTAATCAAAAGAGGCAAATCACTCAAACGAAAAATGAATATATTGAAAGGGAGCTATTGAAGTGAGCCACACCCCAAACTTCTTCCCAAGACTTCTTTCTATCATACAATGATACAACACCATTTAAGTTCCTCTCCAGCCAGAAATTCCAACAAATAACAAAGAAACCAACCTACAAAACAATCTTCCTCTGTCTCTAAACAGAGAGCATACCAGAACCTCATCCATAATAGTCCTATAAAGTCTCAAATTGGGGGCAAAGATACCCAAAAATTAACGGAATTCTCAGCCAAACATTTACAGAAAATGTGCTTTGTTACAAAAAATTATAAAAAACCTCCAAGACCTTTTTATACAAAACACAGAACAACTTGAAAGATCAATGAATAAAATTCATATTGAACCCCTCCCCACAACAGGCCAAGAAAATAACTTAACTTTCTTTGGAACTTCAACCTTCGACACCATAACAGAAAGGGGAGACACACAGGGGGAGAAATGAGATGAATATGGAAAGAACTGCATGAAAAACACCAAGAGACTCCAAACACCAAACTCTACCATCTCCGGAGTCAAAACATGAGAAAATCTTTGAAAAGTTGACAAGGCACAAGAAAACTCTAATGCCTCTATTATTGAAGCGAAAGTGCTACTATAATGAAGATTGAAAGAAGATTCCCCCACAATAAGAAAGAAACGAGACTATATGGCCATTTTTAAGAGAAAATAAGTTAAAATGACAAGTAAAGATGACTAGACGAGATCAAAACAT